GTTTTATAAGCTTTAAAGATGAGCAAGAAAGGTCTCCAGTTTCATTTTAATCCGATTTCATTATGATCTGCCACAATAATTAAATTAGTTAGTAATTAAAATTATTATAACAAATCAAGTATATATATAATTTAATATATACTATAAATTTTTTTTTTTTTGTATTTACTGCTAACTATTATTATCATTGGACTAATTTTCTAATTTCTAATCTTGTATTAAGAAACTTGCCCAAAAAAATGATCTTGGTACACTTGCTTAACACTTAACTCAAAAAGATATTGCTAATATTTAACAAAAAGAACAAGTACTACAAAATACCTATTCTTCTAGTAATTGTAATTTTGAAAATGAACTTCAACATGCACTTAGTTTTTTAGTTACAAAAAATTATCAAGTAAACAATTTTCAAGTTGGATAGTCTCATGGTTTCTGTTTTGCTAATCAAAGACAAATTGAAAGATTACAAAAATTTGGGTGGCTTACTTTATTGATGCAATATATGATACTAATAAGTATCAATGGCAGCTCTTTACCTTATACTTTTAAAATAACTATGGATTCTGAGATATTGGCACACATATATTTATAAATATTGATGTTAATATACTATCCTATGCATTAAAAATAATTTGTGAATTTGCACCTAAATAGCATTCTCATTATATACTCTGCGATCAAAGTGCTGTTGAAATGAATAGTATATCTAAAGTATTTTTAGAAACCAATCATGGTGAACAAAAATGTAGTATAATTCTTTGTACAGTTTATATGATGTGAACATGAATACAAAAAATTTATCACTTGGCAACTCACAATCAAATAATCCTTGCAATAAACAAAACAACAAAGGCTAGTTGTGAAAAACTATCTATAATACTATAAATACATGTCCTGTTCCTGATATTGTTAGTTATCTTAATAGAAATTATGTTAAAAATACAGAAAAGTGAGCTCTTTGGGCCCATCAATATTCTCCTTTATTGTTGCAAGTTACTACTACAAATCCTTTAGAATTTTACCATAGTGAGCTCAAAAGAATTATATCAAAACAATATGATCTTATTAGTAAGTAGTGATATTTGTAAATGCTGCATAGCTAAAATCTGTAATTCTGATTTTTAAAATTTTATTTTATAAAAACAAGCTTATTAGAATTTAATAAGCTTATTTTTGTAAATGAAATTTTAGATCTTTTTTGCAATCATTTATATATTTCTGTTTGTCTCTCTAATACTGAATAGCTGTTAATTCTAGACGCTTGTAATAAAATTGTTGAGTTAGAAGATAAAAAAAAGCTTGTTCAAACTTTAGAAGAAAAAGAAACAAAGGCACATAGATTACATATTGATAATATTATAGAAAAAATATATGATAGATACCAGACAGCTGAAAAGAAGGATAATGAAAATATTATTAATGAATTCATTAGATGTCTTAATATCTCATTAAGCCAAATTCTTGATACACAAACTTCTAATATGCAAAATTGATATTGAAATACTGTATAAATATATATGCTAAATAAATATATAATCGTATATGCATAAAAAAAATAAACAAACTTGCTATTTTTAAAACCAAGATAGTTTGTTTTGAAAAATACTAAATACTAATTTGTAACTGTAAAGGTCAAAAATTTAATTTGATTGGGGTTAAAATCAAAAATTTAAGAATTGCTATAATAATAACTTTCTATACCTGTTATAACAATATTCTATACATATAGATACTATAATAATAATTTGTTATATATTATATGACTTGTTTACTTGTAAATACAACTCGAAAATAAGAGTAATTTTTTTATTTTGTATCTGGCTTACTAATTTACTATTATTAATATACCTCTTTTAATTTTTATTAATAATATTAACCTTTTACAAAACACTTTTACAAATGATTAATACTTACTGACTATCTTCATGCCTGAAGTCAACATCTGCTAGTAATTATAATTTCAGAATAAAGTTATAGTATAATAAATTAGCTAAATGGCTTATTTTAAATGTGCTAATAAACTAACGATCTTACATCTGCCTATCAGAATTGTTGGCATACAAATGCTACAAAAATTTATTTTATATATATTGATAAATTATTTAATGTTATTGCACATTAATAAGCTCCTACTAGGTATAATAGATAGGTATTTATATGAGCTAGTTTTGCAGATAAGTATTTATGAACTTGATTTTTGAAATGTTTTTGCTAGTTTTAATTCAAATGATTAATAATACATAGTTATTAGACATGTAAATAAACAATAACTGCATTATTCGTCAAAGATATGTTAGATACTATTCAGCTACGATAGTGGCCAAATAGTATCTAATATATCTTTGACAAATAATGTAGTTATTGTTCACTTACATGCAGTTTTATTTCTGATTCAACTATTTAATGCAAGAATGTTTTTAATTGCCAAAAATATGTTAGTGTTAGAAATTAAATCTTAATTAAACTTAATTAGTGAAAACTATTTAACTTTACCAGATAATGGATGTTGCTACATAGTGAATAGATTCTGTAATAAAATTCTATAGTAAATCATCAGAACAATTCCCAATTTTAATTACATACTATTATAATGGCAAGTAGGTTTTGTAATAGATTTTTTATAGTAATTTGCAAAGAAATCAGTTAATTTTTATCTAAACTAATCTTCTTTAATACAATTAAATTATATAACAGAATTTTTCAGTAAATTACAATAGCTCTAATTCAATTATATAATTCTGATCACTTGTTGGGTATTACCACAAATGGTGAGTAGTTTCTGTAATAAAATTTCTACAGTAAATTAAGATAATAGTTACAACAATACTAACTCATACTTAATATATCAGTAATAGCAAATAGGTTTAGTAATATAATTTTTACAATAATTTCAATCTAAACCAACTTAACCACATACTGGTATTACTACAATAAAAATAAGTTCTGTAGTGAAATCTTTATTAGAAATCACAATAATTCAAATCAAGACTAACTCTACCTTAAATATATATCATAATAATAAGTATATAATTGTTATAGAAATGATAATTCCAATTTAAGCTAACTATATCTAGACATTATTAAATGAAGAATAGGTTTTATAATAGAATTTTTTACTAAATTATAACAATTCCAATTTAAACCAACTCAACTTTGATCAGTTGCTAAATGCCAATACAATAACAAGTAGCAAAATTTTTATAGTAAATCATATAGAATAACAACAATTTCAAATAAACTCTACCTTGTCTACATACTGGCTGATACCACAAAAGTGAATAGGGGGTTTTTTTTTTTTTTTAATATTAAGATGACCACTTAGGTCCCTGGCATGTAGCTTTATTCAGATAATTACGATATTACATCAATTTCACGAGGATACAACTAGCCACACGTGTACTTTTTGTACCTAATTTAAGTAGTCCGCCTGGGTTCTACACTAGCTGCCATATCTGCAATCTAACTAGGAGATTACCTATTTAAGCTCTTTGATTATTTAACTAACGAGAGTACGACTAGCTATACATGCAACTTTTGGTTACCTATTTAAGTAGTCTGCTCTAGGTTCCATACTAGCTGCCATACCTGCACCCAACTATAGGGGATACTTATTTAAATCCTCTGGCTCCATTTCTGTAACATGCTTTACCCTAATACTCTTAATGAGATTTAATCTTCAAGTTTAGTATTAGCTTATTTATATATAGTATATATAGAATAGTTGCTATATATTAAGTATATTATACTTAGTGTATTATTACAAAATATTAAAATTTTAGATTTTTTTTTTATTAAGATAGGTATTTAAAGAAAATTACTTTTAATAAGCTACTGATTTATATATTATTTCTAGTTTTAAATTTTCTGCATTATATATAAATTATTTTTTTATTTAATATATAATAAAAATTATTTTATTTTATATATAATATATATTATTATTAACTATATATAATATATATAAATAAAACTCTTTCCGTTTATCACTCGTACACAAATTTTTTACAAAACTAATTATTTAAAAAAAACAGCTTACAACCTTTTT